AGAACTTATCTAGCTTGGAGAGCTGCCAAGCCAATATCTGCAAAACTTGGCAAGGAGTCTCGGAGAGACACAAACCAATTAAGCAAACTAATTGTCTCCTTCAAACTCCACTCCCCTTTTGCTGCTCTTTTATTTTCTCTGGGAGGGGCCATTGATCGTCCACCTGTGGCCTTACTCCCAAGTCAACCCCTGTTCTTTAGTTGTCTCCTTCATCTGGCAACTCTGCGCATGTGCACACTGGGAACAGGCTCCAGCTGTTCGTCTGCCTCACTGATGTCTGACTCTGAAGGCAGCTGATAACTGACATACAGCTCTGGGCCCCGCTCTGCCTCCAACACAGAGTCCTCATCAGAGCCTTCCCCAGACTCCAGGACTGGCCCATGTTCCTCCACAACCTCCTTACTGTCTGAATCTGCTGCCAGCTCCGCTGGCCACTGGTGGACCACAACACCTCTAACTTCACCAACTGGTACTTAGCATGAAAGACATAGTACCCAAAACTAAGAAAAGAAGGAATCTAAGCATGAGAATTCATTTTGAAGAGCAGAATTTGGATACTATAATCCACTTTTGGTCTTCCTAAAACTTCTTTCATTTCAGCACTGTATTTAAGAGCTTGGGGAGAATCTTAGAAATCTCCTAGAATTCCACTTCTAAGTTTTGCAATTCTCATCAACGCTTTGCAAAACATCCATGGACTCAGACGGACAACCTTACTACTTCTCAATATTTGGGGTGAAGATACATCAACCTTTGATTTTAAGGACTTGGATATAGGGAAAACCTTTGCCAGGTTTTTGTTAGCTCACTTCTCCCCAGAAATGACTGAAAAAGAACAATAGCTTGATGTTTAGAAGATTGTAGCATCTTCAAGGAACTCAAAGAATGACCCCTGTCCAGAGGTGGACTTCAAAAATTTCAGCAATGGGTTCTCTGCCTGGTTGCTGGGTGAGTGTGGCCATGGCGGGTGTGACCTACTTGGCCTCCTGCACCATGGTGGTGGTGGGCTTTTGACCTCCCCTGGGCTCTGGAGGCCTTCTGGGAGGCCCATTTTCCCCCTCCCAAAGCCTCCGCATGGGCCCTGCCCTCAACTTACATCCACATGGAGACTCCTGGGGGGGGGGGGGGAGAGGCAGGCAGGGCCAGCCATCGGTGGAATTTGGAGGTTCTCCAAACTGGTCATAGTGTTAGCTACAGATTTTCCTGAACCCGGGGAGCAGCCCACCCCTGTCCCTATCTGAAACTAAGAGTGTCCACCTACTGTCCTGCAGACATCCTGGGAAATCTCCAAGAATTCCCAGCTAACCACATCAATAGTTATGGTGGCTGGAAGAGTTGCAGAGCCAGCCTCCCTAAACACGTCCAGATTGGGAGGAAAAAAGATGGCACAGAAAGAAAGATTCAGAAAGGCCAGATCCAGCAAGCATACCATGCGTGGGTGTCTTTTCTCTTCTCCGCACCCCTGTCACTCTACCTCTTTCATATTCAGAACTCATGGGATGATCCTCGCCTTCAATTAACGTGTAATACTTTCCACTTTCTTGTTCCAGGAAGTAGCTTGGAGATTCAGAACCTTTCATGGCAGACTTCCCAATCCCGTATTTGCTGATTTCATCACACGACACAAGGCCAATGTCATCCCTAAGAAGAAATGAGAGAAATGGCAAGAATGGCAAATACAATTCTAGCTGCTGTTATTATACGAATAATCAAATATATATTCTCTTTGCTATATTTCTCTGGTAAAATACCCAACAAAAGCAATATATTTAAAATCAATATATTGTTGTGTCAACTTCTCCAACCACATACACATTTTTGCCCAATATTTTCTTGTTTCTACACATGCCCACCACATATGATAATAGAATCCTGGTGTCTGATGGCATTTCCAACACTTAGTTGATTTTGCGCAAAATTGGAAAATGGAAAAAATTCCCCTCAGAGCGAACTTTCCCCAGCAGCTTCAGCTCAGCCAGAGGTTGTCTTGAGTTGACCATGTTTAAGAGAGTATATTCTTACTACTATTAATTACATTTAATTTGTGGGTCAAATTGTCCTCCCACTTTATTACTGCAAACAATTCCAGAGCAGGATTAATTACAAACAACTTATATCCTGTTAAAACCATCGCAACATTCACAATCAGTTTTTTTAAAAAAACTCTTGATAAAAATGCTATAAAATGACTTCAAAGCAGCCTCTAAAAATTCTAGATGGAAAAGGCATGGCAGCCTCAGGTTAAAGTGAAAGCTACTGCTGCTATAATTTTAAAACTCTTCCTGAATCAATAGATTTCAAAGTGGGATTCAAACATTAAAACAATATTGAAAATGGAACAAAAGGGGGAAAAAAACCTTTAAAATCCACACAGGTCAAAAATTCACACACATTCTTTTCACATTCACATTTTTTTGCTAAGAGTAACACTTCAGAGGAACTCAGATTACTAATGAAGTTAGCTGTGAGTAAAGGAAGGAAAAACTTGGTCCGGAAAAATGCAACAATTTGAGTTTAAAAAGTAATCCTGGATTAAACAGTTCATCTAGACTACTGTCTCTCACACTTGGTCACTTGACGACAGATGGACCAATTTCTAGAATGTTGACTGGGGAGTACTAGAGAGTTGAAGTCCACACATCTTCAAGGAACTAAGATTGTTGGGGGCAATATGCGGACTCTGTAAACTGCTGAGAGAGGGCTGTAAAGCATTGTGAAGCAGTATCGTTGTGGCCCATTGGCCACTGGCCCCTCCACAGCCGAATCAGAGGAGGAGGAGGAGGTGTGGGAGTCAGGGACAGCATCAAGGCAACCTGAGAGCTCCAAGAGAGAAGAGGGAATGGAGCTGTCAGAGATGGAATCAGAGACGGAGCCTGTCCTGTCCATCAGCCCTCAGATGGAGAGTCAACAGCCCCCAGGTCTGGAGTGGCAGATGAGGAAGAGGAGGAACAGCTGTATCCAATGCCTGACGTGCAGATGCACAGAAGGCAGAGGAGAGGAGAGCAGTGGAAATCTATAAGCCAGTCCTTGGGAAGAAAGAGCCACCACTGCTAGCGAGGCCCCATCCTAGCTCTGGGGATAAAAGGCAGGGGGCAGAGATGAATAGATGTGGCAGACAACTATTCATCTCCTGGCTGGACGGACTTGTTAGCCTGCGTTGAGAGAGAAACGTTTTGCGGGCACTCCGAATTAAAGGAAACTCTGAGTTTACTTCAGAGGGTTTGCCGTGTTTGGGGAGCTGGGTCAGAACAGGTATATAAGTCTAAATGCTATTGCTCTTCTTCTAAACATCCAGGGTCATCACCAGCCCTAGGCAAACCTACCTGGGGCCATAAAGTCCTGACACAGGGGAGAAGATGAATACGTCTTGCAGCGTTGAGTTGTCCATTTTGGAGTTCATACCCATTGTGCTGGTTGGCGTGGTGAAACTGCTCGTTGGGCTGGTTGGAATCACAGGCTGAAAGTGGGTAAGAGCAGAAAAAGAGAAAAAGAGAAAACGACATAAACTACCTATATGTAGCATCTCCCATGTTATTTCACTGCAACAAACTTAACGCATTGCCCCAAAGTTGGCATGAGAAACACTCCCACCTTCTGGATAGATAATAGAAAGAAGGTCTCTCCAAGAAATATTCCATTTGACTATTTATCAACTGGAAGCCCTTAGTTATTTAGAAGTGTCCGCTGTAATAGAAGCAAATTATTATTTTCGCTCCGGAGAATAATTATTTATGCAACATGAGCACCCATACACATCTATGCTCAGAGACTTAATCATGGAAGCAGGAGTTGGCTTGTGGCTCTAACACACTGTGACTCAAGAAGATGGACCATTAGTAGAAATCATCTCCACTTCATACAATAATCGGAAATTGGAACTCGGTGCCTAAAGGGGATTGGTCACATTGAAGCTTAGGCAGAGATGCATAAACACCATGAGTTAATTTTGAAAGGGACTTTTGAACGAACTCAACACACCTCTTTCTTTAAGATATTTAAAAACAGGGACACTTCGGGAATAGGATGTGGCTTGAACGTATTGCCATCGCCATTCATAAGCATTCCTATTAAAGTTTCTCACAAATTAGTCTGTGAAACATTTTTTTCTAACTTTTTTCTAAGTTTTCAATTTCATAATTCCTTCAGTTCCACCATCGTAGCTGTTCTTTTTTTTCCTTTGAAATATAATTAATAGCAGAAATGGGCAGGAGAAACTCACTTCTGGGTAATAATGCATTTAGCTTTGGTCGCTGCAATGTAAAAAAGATGTTGAGACTCTAGAAAGAGTGCAGAGAAGAGCAACAAAAATGATTAGGGGACTGGAGGCTAAAACACATAAAGAACGGTTGCTAGAATTGGATATGTCAAGTTTAATGAAAAGGACTGGGGACCACATGAGAGCAGTGTTCCAATATCTCAGGGGCTGCCACAAAGAAGAGGGGGTCAAGCTATTCCCCAAAGTACCTGAGGGTAGAACAAGAAGCAATGGATGAAAATTAATCAAAGGAGAGAAGCAACCTAGAACTAAGGAGAAATTTCCTGATAGTTAAAATAATTAATCAGTGGAACAACTTGCCTCCAGAAGTGGTGAATGCTCCAACATTGTACTCAAATCAAACCAAACCTTTATTGTCACATGTGTACAATGCAGTGATGGGTTTCTATTTTTTTTACTATCAGTTCATTCATGCACGCTCATGTGCTCGCAATGCATGCGCAGAAGCATCTGGGCGGGAGGGGGGAGCCTCCTGCCGCCGCTGCCACCGCTGCCACTACCGTTTCGCCCGATCTGGGCCAAACCGGGAGCAACCCACCTCTGGTACAACGTACAAACATGTGTACAATGAAACTGAATAATTTTTTAAGGTGCACTGTTTCTTGCCTGAGCAGGGAGTTGGATTAAAAGACATCCAGGGTCCCTTCCAACTTTATTATTCTGTTATTTTCCTGAATATTTTGTGACTGTTCTCTGTTCTCTGATATTTTGCCCTTCTAGTTCTCTTTCACGAAATAGAGTTAAAGGGAGCCAAAGTAACTGCCTTTAATTTTAGGGATGTGTGGATAGGTTTTAACACTGAGCATTTCAAGAAACTAATGAATATGCCTTTATAAATATATCTGTAGCCAACAGGGCTTAATTTGGAGATTTATTCCTGCCACACCACATATTCAAGCATAAGTTTTGGATTTGGAAATGCGTTGCTTTTCTGCTTACCCAAAATCAAAGTTAGGCACTAATTGTCCATGAAATAGCCAATTCCCCTTTCCATAAATATTCATAACACCGTGGAATAATTCTTTAGGAGTATTTCTGTCTGAAGTCTGCTCAGCAATAGCAGTAGGGTGATGAAAGTGGGTTGGGGGGGGGGGAAACTCTCAGAACTTATTTTGGAACCAAAGGACTACTAAAATTCTATGAAAAGAGATTTAGTCAAGAATCTATTTTGGTCCTGTGGCATGAAATTAGCTCACTCTCACTTTTCATTGGCTGGTCCCACCAGAGGTGAAGGCTGCAACCTTAAGATAAAGGTTATTATTATTTTTTCTAATTAAAATTGGATGACATCAGTCAACAAAAACAACTTTGCTGTCAGAGAATAATTACTCTTTGCTCTTAAAAGTAAGGTAAAGGTTCCCCTCGCACATATTTGCTAGTCGTTCCCGACTCTAGGGAGCAGTGCTCATCTCCGTTTCAAAGCCGAAGAGCCAGTGCTGTCCGAAGAGGCCTCTGTGGTCATGTCGCCGGCATGATTAAATGCCAAAGGCGCACAGAACACTGTTACCTTCTCACCAAAGGTGGTTCCTATTTTCTTACTTGCATTTTTTATGTGCTTTCAAACTGCTAGGTTACCAGAAGCTGGGTCAAGTAATAGAAGCTCACTCCATTACGTGGCCCTAGGGATTTGAACCGCCAAAGTGCCGATCTTTCTGATCAACAAGCTCAGTGTCTTAGCCACTGAGCCACCATGTCTTTGCTCTTATGGGAGCATTAAGACCAGCCAAAAAACCAGTGGGAAATGCTAGGAGAGATACAAGAGAGATAAACTTTTATCAAGATGGCTTTACTAAGTCTTCAGCCCAGCCCACCCATGTTGGGCTGTGTGGCTCATAATTAAAACATCACTAGCTACAAATGAAAATGGCCATTGAGAAGATAGAGTGGAGATACTGAAAAGGTCAACGCTAGAAGCAAAGGATGGGAATGACAAGGAAAGAGATTTATTTAACATAGACGCCAGAAAGGCTAAATCTGTCAGAGATGCTGGGATGGTGTCATTGCGTCATGGATTTTTGCAATGCCAAGGAGAGTCAAACTTTCTCAATCTTGGCAACTTTAAAAGCCTGTGGACTTCAAAACCCAGAATTCCGCATGCTGGCTGGAGAATTCCGGGAGTTGAAGACCACAGGCCTTAAAGTTGTTAAGGATGAGAAACTGGACTAAAGGGGTTAGAACAGGTTAATAGGATCAGAAGGGACCTTGTAGGTCATCTAGTCCAACCCCCCACCCAAGCAGGAGACCCTATACTATTTCTGACAGATGGCAGTCCAGTCTCTTCTTCAAAGCCTCCAGTGATGAAGCGTCCACAATTTCTGAAGGGAAGCTGTTCCATTGGTTGATGGCTCTCACTGTTCTCCTTATTTCCAGGTTGAATCTCTCCTTCCTTGTTCAGTTTCCATCCATTATTCCTTGTCTGGCCTTTGGGTGATTTGGAAAATAGCTTGTCTCCCCTGGTCCTTTTCTTCACTAGAAGCCACTAGGGTTTATTAGGGTCTCTAACATCCCTTTCGACAGCAAATGTGGAATAAAACTGATTATAAGCATACTTTTGAGATCTTTGTTCAATTTCATATTCATTATTAGGTATCTCTTTGATTCACTGATTCTATGGGGGTACTTCTATCCATATCTTGCAAAGGGAGAGGTCAAAGGAATTCTAAGATATCAGGTGCTATTCTTGCCTTAGGCCCAAAAACTGGCTGGGTGACTTTGGGCCAATCAACAGGAGACAGAGAATTCTAGTCCCGCCTTAGACATGAAAGCTGATTGGATGACTTTGGACTAGTCAATATCTCAGGTAAGCCCACCTCGCAGAGTTGTTGTGGAGAAAATAGAGGAAGAGGTAGAAGATTTATCTATGTTCGTTGCCTTCAGTAATTTCTAAAAATATTTTTTTTGAATTTTTTTTTTATTTTAATTGAACAAAAACACAAAAAAGAATCATCCTTCATTACATCTTGTAGAAAGCATGTCGATTGCTTACAGATAACTTTCATGCATTTCTTCCACAGTCATTATTTATAGTTCATATTAGATTATGCACTTTAAA